TATGAAAAAAACACTTATGGAAAGAAATATTCATAAGCAAGAAGAAGAATTTCATGACATTATATTTTAACTAGATAAGCAGATGCATCAGGAATATTTAGATAGTTTTGTGAATGATACAAACAATACTTACCAGTAAAAATGTGTTATTAAATCAGATCAGAAATGCCACCAAAGTTTGTTTTCTTTCATTTTTGTTTGAAAGGCTGGTAAACTGAAGTTCAAGCCTGTCATAGTGGAACTTGTAGTGTTGGGCAGTAGTACATAATCATTGTCATCAGACTGAGCACAGTAGCAGTGAAGGAAATAGTTCCAAGGGCACAGAGTCTCAAACATAGTTCTTATAAAATGCAAATAGCCTCCTTTTTCCTCTTTGTTTTTATATACTTTTTAATTATAATTTCAGTCTGTAAAACAAGTAAATGTTATGACAATAATGATCCTCCCAAGAATCTTGCTTAAGGAGAAAGAGATGGTGTTTGTAAAAACAAATTACATACCTAAAGCTGTATTTGTAAAGAGATTAATAATATATTACAAATTTTTAGCATTTTCATACATTAGTGTGTTTCACATAAATGCTTTGATATGTAATTCTTAAGTCTCTACGGTTTTAATTTTGTTAGAAAAGTTTCATGACATTATTTTTTTTAACTAGATGACCAGATGCATCAGAAATATTGAGATAGTTTTGTGAATGATACAAACAATATTTACCAGTAAAAATACAATATTAAACAGTGATATAGTTAAGTGCTGTATAACGTCTGAATTGACACAAAAATGTATATATATATGTAGCAGTAACTTTGGTATGTAAAGACTATTTGAAATTGTTGAATAACAAACAGTTCCACAAGAGAACATTCAGTTTTAACTTCTTGATGATCTTTTATCTGCTATCTCCAAGATATACACTTACCCAACCTTTTGAGTATAAAATAATGTCAGGTGGCATAATTTATGAACTTTCCTGTTTGAATTGAAGTGAATATTTTGCTATATATTCTTTTATTGTGGATCATAAAAACATCTATAAACATACTTTATGAAATGAGAGGAAACATACTGTTATTGTTTTGTTTTCCCAGAATTGTTCAGATACAGAATCAAAAACACATTCCTTAGAGGAAGATATCTGGTTTCGTCGCCGTAGTGAGAGAATTTTCCTTCATGATGCTGGCGTTGTTCCTGGTGCAATATCACCCTGGCGAGGAGAAAATGTTGATCCACCAGTCATAAATGATAATGATTTACCCACAACTGAAACCAAAAACCTTGAGCCAGAACCACAAACCAGTTCAGAAATGCCACCAAAGGTTTTTTTATATATTTTATTTTTTTGTTTTAAAGGCTAGAAAACTGAAATTCTATAAATTACATACATAAGAAATTGGATGAATCATTATGCTATAGATCATATTCATCTCACTTTGCTTATTTTCTGTACACAGCGTTGTCACAAGTAAATAGACACCACCTTTTCAGAAAAAATTAAATTTTTCAGTCATATTCACATGAATTGATATATTTATGATTTAATTAATATCTAGTATATCTTCCTTTCGCTTCGTGGAGTACGTTGATCCTTTGGGGCATCGTGAGAATCATATCGTCAATCTTAGATTGTGGGATTTTTGCCCACTCTTGCTTCAAAACTTGAAGTAGATCACTCTTCGAAGTTTGTTTTTTGGTTGTTTCTTGACTTGCCGGTTGAGTATGGCCCAGAGGTTTTCGATGGGGTTCATGTCAGGAGATTGGCTCGACCAGGGCAACTTCTGTATACCATTTTCTTCCTGCCACTTTTGGGTGTTTCTAGCAGTGTGACACGGTGCTCTATCTTCCTGGAACAACGTTGTGTTCTTGTCCACGAAACCCGAGAAATAAAGTGGCAAGAGTCCTTTCTCCAATATTTCGACGTATTTTGCAAAATTTTATGTTGCCAACGCAATCCACTAAGCTCGATCTCCCACCAACCCTAACAGCTCCC